TTTATACTCTTATGTTCCCCTTGCCTCATTTTCATCACCTCATTTTCCTTAGGAAGAAAAACACCTTGCTGTTTTATGTGTTTTAGCCTTAACTAAACAAACATTTATGGTGGATCAGTGCTGGCTATGCCGGAGCCAGGGATTAAGCATTTCCTCTCTGCAGTCTCCGTCCTAGAGGCCTGTTTGCCAGCTCCTCTCTGCCTCTCCAGTTCCTTTGCTCCTTGCTCCAGTTCTTGGGACCACAGAGCCTTAAGGTCCCTCCATCCTGGCTCGAGTCTGGGCAGAAATATGATACTCCATTTTTTTTTTTTCTCCTTTCTCTGCTTTTCTTCCTTATCCTCCAGGGCTTCACAGAATTTTTTAGGGAGAAAGGCTGGGAGGGGAGTCATTTTCCCAGCTTGGGCCTCAGCTGCTCGCACAGCCCCAGGCCCCCTTTGAAGCCTGGCTCTTCTTAGCTCCCGCCCCGACTCAGCAGTCCCCGCTGGCTGCTGTCCTTAGTGACCCACCTGAGCAGAGATCCTACTTCTGGTGGAAAGGCAGTGACTTCAACCCTGTAGCCTTGGAAATGGGGCAGGGGAGAGCTGGCCGGCAGTGCCCTGGGCACAGGACGGGGAGGCACAGTGCTGTGCCAGGGCTGATGTTCAGAGCCCCACCCTGTCATCAGTTACCTCACCAGTCCTTACACGGAGTGGCTTCACTCTGTCCCCAAAAGTTAATAAACTCAAACTGAATAAAAAAGCTCAGTGTAAACTGTGTCTTCCACCCGGTCACCTGAGCTCCCCTTCCCTCTGGGACATTTACAGTTACCAGTTCAGTGCAAGCTCTTTCAGTGGTTGGTTGTGCATACATACAACTATATATGTACATCCTCTTTTAAAACAGAAATGGTGACATACTATTACACATATGTTTCCTGGCCCTAGTGTTTTTTTTTTTTCTGGAGACAGGGTGTTTCTCTGTTGCCCAGGCTAGAGTGCAGTAGCGTCATCACAGCTCACTGCAGCCTCAAACTCCTGGGCTCAAGCGATCCTCTTGCCTCAGCCTCCCAAATAGCTAGGATTACATGTGCGCCCTACCACATCTAGCTAATTTTTTATTTTTTGTAGAGATGGGGACTTGCTATGTTTCCAGGCTTGTCTTGAACTCCTGGGCTCAAGCAGTCCTCCTGCCTCAGCCTCCCAAAGTGCTAGGATTACAGGCATGAGCCATGCACCTGGCCCCTAGGTGTTTTTTTTTTAAACTTAATAATGTATCTTGGGTAATTGTTCTATGTCAGTATATACATGTCAGTGGAGCCTTCTCTGATATAGTCAGTTGAAAAGAAAATCCCAGGGTGGTGGTGAGGGGAATGCTAATGATGAAGGGGTTAAGCCTCTAGGGAAGGGAAGGGGTGCCCATGTGTGGGCTATTGGAAGTCCAGGAAACTTCTGAATTGCATGTGGAAAATTGTGGGCACAGATGGAATTTTCTGGGACAGGGACTCTGGTTCTGAGGGGTCTGTGGTCCATAAAAGGGGAAGAGCCGCAGCTTTGGGGTTCACGGGATTTCTATATAGCGGGAGGCAGGGGCCTAACTCAGCGGAGGGCAGAGTCCCTGGGTTTGGGGCAGCCACAGATTGGGCTGAGTCGGGGGACAGTGATGCCCAGCCCCAGTATCTTCCTGGAAGATGCCTGGGTTTTTCCCACTCCCAGCGGAGGGTCCCTCTGTTTGCCGGGAGGGTGGCCCCGACTGACCATGAGAATGGAGTATGGGGCCTTCCTGGGATTAGAAAACCCCAGTGGTCAGAGCTGCGAGGCCCTCCAGTTACTGGATCTACGGAATAACCGGGCCACAGAGAGGCTGAGGGTGAGTCCAAGGTCACCCAGCCAGGGAAAGGCAGAGGCTGTGGGCTGTTCCTGCCCGTGACATTCGGTTCCGTGCTCCTTCCCTGCCAGAGCGGAATGGGAGAGGAAGGGGCCCTGGGGGAGGCGCGGCCGCCTGTTGCTGCTGGCCTCTTGGTGTGCGGCCGAGGAAGTGGGGGTGCACGGAACAGAGGCCGCAGCCGGGGTGGGCGTGCCATCATCACACCTCACTGCATCCTGCAGCATCACCTCCCGCTGGCTGCATCCTCACCCGCGTCCGCAGCCACAGCCCAGGAATTCTGAACGCAGCGGCGCCGGGCTCGGTGGCTGCGCTGCGGGACGTGGCCGCTAGAGGGCAGCAGGGAGGCCACTGGGGTGGCTCCTCCCGGAAAAAGTCCCCCGCAGGGAGAAGGGGCGGTGGACAGAGTCGGACCCTGCCGGCTGCGGTGTGGTTTGTTCTGAGGTACTTCCCGGAGGCAGAAAACAAACCAGACATTGAATGATGACATGAACTGACACTTATTGAGTGCTTACCCTATGCCGGGCGCTGTATTACCTATAAGTAATTAGTCCTCACAACAGCTTGTTGTAATTGTCCCCATTCTGCAGGTGAGAAAACAGAGGCCCAGAAAGATTATGAAATCTAGCCAAGGTCCCACGGCCACAAAGTGGTTGAGCTGGGAGCAGCGGGGCTGGTGCCGGAGCTGTGTCACAGCTATATGCCTCGCGTTGACTAAGTGGTCTAAGTCCTTCGATTCTTACCACCTCGTCTATGGCTACACGCACGTTATGGGTGAAGAACCCGAGGCTCAGGGATAGCCGTGAATCGCGCGGGTCCGCACACCTGGGGTGACAGGTCCATCGGCTGGCTCAGGGCTTGAGCTCTCGGCTCTGGTTGTAGTTCCCCAGCACAGAGTCGTCCCCACCCCCACTCCTGCCCTAATCTGAGGCTGGCTGTCAGTGAATGCTGAGCTTTCTGCCGGGAGTGGGAGTTCACCAACTGCCCTGCCTTCCAGCAGAAATGATCCATTCTGGGCTCCCGTGTCCAAGGTTTGCTTGGGTTTTGACTAACCAGAGGTGCAGGGAGGCCGTGCCAGAGGCTGCTAGAAGCCAGAGAGGGGCCCTGGGGGCTACAGTCGTGCTTGGAGGAGGAGGACTTTGAGAAGTCTTTTGTAGTGGCCGAGGCTCCCTTGGGAACAACAGGACCTGGCCCTGAGACCTCTGGTTTCCAGGGCAGATGCCTCCAGCATACCAAGGAAGCTTGGCCAGCCCTGGGCCTGGCTCTGCCAGGCTGGCAGGAGAGAAGGGGGCATTTCCAGAAGGGCCTGACTTCCCCCATCTTCCCGTTCCCATGCCCTGGCTTTGCCCTCCCCGGGGGCTGGGGTGGGATGGCCTGTGGCTGGACCTTCAAACACGTTCCCCTTCTGGGTGCCCAGGCTGTAGCCTGTGAAGCTGTGTCTCATTGTCTTAGAGATCTAAACCTCGAGCTGCTCCAGTTACTTCTGATTTATTAGCAAAGCAGCAGCTTGAGTTTCTCTGGGTGGGGGCGGGGAGGAGGAGTTAACTTAAATGGTTCCTTCCCTGGCAAGATGCTAAGATGCTCCTCTTTAAAGAATACCCTGGGGTGAATTCTGTTTTTGGAACTGGAATCCTAGAATTAAGTGAAGACTCTTTAAAGGTTCTATTTGCAGTCTTGGTGGGGACCAAAGGGGGTAGAATATGAGTGGAAACAGGGAGTAGATCAGGGAAGAGGATTCGAACGTGGACTTCGTAGCACATTGCCTGGGCTGGAATCCTGCCTCTGCCCCTTACTAGGGGTGTGAGCTTGGAGAGGTTATCTGACCTTGAGGAGCCTCAGTGTCCTCATCTGTAAAATGGGGTTGTGACAGCGTCAGCCTCACAGAGTTGGCATGAGAGCAGGAGGAGCTAATGGCTGTGAAGGGAGTGTATGCCTGGGAGAAACACCGTGAATGCCCAGGAAGTTCTCGCTGTCCCTCATGCTACGTAACCCGCAGTGCCTAGAACAGTGCCTGGCATACACTGGGTATCTGGTAGATGTCTGTGAATAAATACAAAGGAGGTGCCTCCAAGTGGAGTGGCATTGCTGCTAATGAATGACTCTTAAATAGCCTGCGGATATTGCCTGGCACGGAGTATTGGTGGCATTCCCTGTCTGCTTCTTTAAAGGCATTCCCATTTGTCTTGAGGCACTTGGGCAAGCAGGGCTGCAATTTCCGGGGTTTAAAGCAGAGAGGCCTTCTCTCTGGGTCCCCGGGCCAGCCTCCTGGGGTGGAGGCCAGCGTCTTCTGATGCCACAGGGTAAGGCCGGGTGGGATGGGGTGTGGTCAGGGGTGTGGTTTTCTCTGATCACGTTGAGAAGTTCCTAAGAATCTAGACTGCGCCCCTTTCCCTATTCGCTGCCCCCCGGTGATCTGGTACTGATTCCTATAGATAACGAGGGCAATTTCCTATTTGAAACAGGACTCGGTTTCTCTATCTGAGCAACGGGAGTGAGGACCCTGACCGCCTAGAGGGGGCTGTCAGGAATAACACGGTGCTAGAAGTTGGGTGCGTGAGCCAGGCAGCACTGCAGGTTCGGGGAACGAGGATCCACTCACTCCGCCCCCGAAGGACTCAGGCCAAACAGCAGGGTGTGGGGAGAGTGTTCACAAAGCACATGAGGTCACTCATCAGCCAGGAGCCAAGAGATCAACAAGAGCAGACAGCAAAGGGAGAGGACATGCTCCAGGTCTCAGAGCGGTCTGACCGCCCCTTCTCATGCTTGGTCCCTCTCTTGCCAAGGCACAAGTGGGCTGGGGACAGGAATCAGATGCAAGTTGAAGGCCAAGTACGCTTAAGCTGGAGGAACAGAAAGTCAAATGTCCTTGGAGGGGAAGAGCCTGGGCTCTGGGGAACCTGCCAGGCTGGGACTGAGCCAGGCCAGTTACTCCTCCTCTGTGCCTCAGCCTTCTCACCTGTGAAATGAGCTGACACCGGCTTCCACGGGAAGTTCTTGTGGGGGGAAATGAGCTGGTGCAGGCGAAGGGAAGTGCTCAGTAGATGCTCGCTGAAATAATGCTGCCGTCTTGGTGTTTGAACTCCAGCGCGGAGCACCAAGGTCAGGAATGCTCCCTGGTCCACTTCTGCTTTGAGTTTCAGGTAGCTGGTGTCCTCCCTTCCGTGTGGTTGGAAGAAGGATCCCCTTGCCCAGCTGTCCCCTCGGAGCTGCCCTTTCTACTTGGAGGCCTGGGGTGAGCCCCCCAGCCCTTGCTGCCTTCTGCTAAACCCCCTCCTAAAGAATCACTGAACAAATTGAATTTAAAATGCAGAATAGTCTGGGCCGTGCTCTGGGCGGGTTTCCCGTGTGGGGCACTAGCTCTCGGGCAGCTGGGCATGCAGGCGTGCCAGCCTCGCTGCCCACTGGTCCTGGTGAGAGCAGAGGGACTGTGACTTGGTAGGAGGACGTGGGTGGGTGGGCGAGGAAGCTGAAGGGAGTGGGATGCATGCAGCCCAGGACTCAGAGGGCCAGACCTCGGGGATCAGAGATGGCACTGGGTTGGTTGGGTCCCTGAGTTAGTGATAGATATGGGAGAACAGGCAGGGCCCTCATGGCCTGGCCCTAGGGGGCAGACTGTGGGACACGGGACCCAGGGAGAGAAGGGGTGGGGAGGAGGAGCTTGGGAGCCCACCCCCACCTTTGCACCCCTCCCCTCCCCGTCTCCCTGTAGTCTGCTGGTCACAGGCTGGGACTGCCGGCTAGACCTGGAGACGCTGGCAGCTGCGGACCCCCCAGCTCGGAGCAGCCCCTCTTTGGTAAGTGGTCGAGCCCTCCTGCATTCGCTCTGGGAGCAGCCCCAGCCCTCTCTCAGGGCCTGGTGGCCTAGCTGGCCTCCCTTGGGGGCACTAGAAAGATGCTCAGGCTGGCTCCTTGCCCCGAACCCGTGGCATGCCCTTCGCTTTCCCTGCTTTCCTGTGGTCCCTCCCCCGCCCGCCTTCTGTGGCCAGAAGGGGCTAAGGGCTAAGGATGGAGGCTTTTGGGGACTGGCTTGGGGGAGCCAGGCCCCCGTCTCCCTAAGGTCTTTGCAGGCCAGTTCACTCGGGGTCCGTGGGGGTCTTCTGGCCCTGTGGCCTGGACCCTTGCCGCAGTGACCAGGAGCAAACCCTGGGTCCTGGGAAGGGAGGCTTCTGGATCCCCCGTCTCTTCTCCAGAGACTCTTAGAGACTCCAGGAGCCCCTGAAGGCCACGTCTAGAGCAAACTGGTCACCCACATCCACAAATTGGAGGAGACTTGACATGCTTGTCCTCTTTCCTGTCCTGCTGGCAGCTCACCGACTCACAGAGTGCCGGGGTCCTTCCTGCACGTGGGCTTGGCGACAGAAGGAAGCATCTGACATGGACTCTTCTTCCCCCTAGGGTTGGGCAGAGGACAGAGGAAAGGTGATCACCTGGGGCACTGGGCACCAGGTCATGGGGGTGGAAGACACTGGCAGGGGTGATGGGCAGGACCTGGCTTGAGGCAGGACCTCAGCGTTCCCTTAGTGTGGGAGCTGGGGAAGAGAGGCTCTTGCCCAGTAGGCCTCTGCACTCATCCACAGGTTAAATCCTGGGTGCAAGGAGTGTTTGTTCGGCTCCCTGAAGCTGCCAGCAATCCCCCGAGAGTGGTGAAGTCTAGTGTAGAGGCTGCTCAGGCCTTCTGGGGGTGTGTGTGTGAGCACTGGGCAGGGAGCCGGGTGTTTCCCTGGGCCCCCACCCCGAGACAGCTCTTCCCAGGGAGCAAGCCAGGGTCCTGCCGTGTGAGGCACCTGACCACTGGCCGCCTTTGCCCGCAGACCTAGAGCCACGGAGAAGCAGCCCCATGAAGGTGCCCAGCCATGCAATGTTCCTGGAAGGCCGTCCTCCTCCTCGCCCTGGCCTCCATCGCAATCCAGTACACCGCCATCCGCACCTTCACCGCCAAGTCCTTCCACACCTGCCCGGGGCTGGCCGAGGCCGGGCTGGCCGAGCGCCTGTGCGAGGAGGGCCCCACCTTCGCCTACAACCTGTCCCGCAAGACCCACATCCTCATCCTGGCCACCACGCGCAGCGGCTCCTCCTTCGTGGGCCAGCTCTTCAACCAGCACCTGGACGTCTTCTACCTGTTTGAGCCCCTCTACCACGTCCAGAACACGCTCATCCCCCGCTTCACCCAGGGCAAGAGCCCGGCCGACCGGCGGGTCATGCTGGGTGCCAGCCGCGACCTCCTGCGGAGCCTGTATGACTGCGACCTCTACTTCCTGGAGAACTACATCAAGCCGCCGCCGGTCAACCACACCACCGACAGGATCTTCCGCCGCGGGGCCAGCAGGGTCCTCTGCTCGCGCCCTGTGTGCGACCCCCCGGGGTCCGCCGACCTGGTGCTGGAGGAGGGGGACTGCGTGCGCAAGTGCGGCCTGCTCAACCTGACCGTGGCGGCCGAGGCCTGTCGCGAGCGCAGCCACGTGGCCATCAAGACGGTGCGGGTGCCCGAGGTTAACGACTTGCGGGCTCTGGTCGAAGACCCCCGGCTCAACCTCAAGGTCATCCAGCTGGTGCGAGACCCTCGTGGCATTCTGGCTTCGCGCAGCGAGACCTTCCGCGACACGTACCGGCTCTGGCGGCTCTGGTACGGCACCGGCAGGAAGCCCTACAACCTGGACGTGACGCAGCTGACCACGGTGTGCGAGGACTTCTCCAACTCCGTGTCCACCGGGCTCATGCGGCCCGCCTGGCTCAAGGGCAAGTACATGTTGGTGCGCTACGAGGACCTGGCGCGGAATCCCATGAAGAAGACGGAAGAGATCTACGGGTTCCTGGGCATCCCCCTGGACAGCCACGTGGCCCGCTGGATCCAGAACAACACGCGGGGCGACCCCACCCTGGGCAAGCACAAGTACGGCACCGTGCGCAACTCGGCCGCCACGGCCGAGAAGTGGCGCTTCCGCCTCTCCTACGACATCGTGGCCTTTGCGCAGAACGCCTGTCAGCAGGTGCTGGCCCAGCTGGGCTACAAGATGGCCGGCTCGGAGGAGGAGCTGAAGAACCCCTCGGTCAGCCTGGTGGAGGAGCGGGACTTCCGCCCCTTCTCGTGACGCGGGCGCCGTGGGGAGGGTGGGAGGCACTTGTGTCGGTTTTGATAAAATGGACCGTTTTTAACTGTTGCCTTATTTCCCCCGCCCTCTCCCACCCCGGTCTTTGTGTCCTTCCCGCCCCCTGCCCACCCCGCTCCCTTCTGCCTCTTTTTGTCTCTGAAATTTGCACTACGTCTCGGACGGGAATCACTGGGGCAGAGGGCGCGCGCGGTGGGCTACGGTCCCCACCCCACCCCATTCGGACACACGGATGCTGGGTCTCTGCGTGGACGGTGACAATGTTTACAGGCACCACACTCACACAGTCACACACACACACGGCACCCAGGAGGAGAGGCACCCAAGCCACACAGCTTCTCCAATTTCCGAATGGATGAGTGGTGGGGGTATTGTAGTTTTTGCACTGTCTCATACAAGGTAAGAAGATCCAAACAAAAGGACCACTTCCCTCTAATTTATGAATGGTGTCCACCCCTTCCGCATCCCTGCTTCCTGCCCCAATGCCCACGTCCCCCCCTTAGAGCAGAGAAACTGCCCTCTCCTGCCCACCCTTGCCTGTCGGTGAGCAGGTCTTTGCTGTGAGGTGAATGTGGGCCTTGTTTATTTTTTCCAGTCTGTGGCGATGCTGTCTGTCTGTCTGAGTCTCGTGGCTGCCCCCGGACCAGCGATGACTGATGAATCTTACGAGTTTCTGATTGATCTTGGGGTCCATCTGTGATATTTCTTTGTGCCAAAAAGAAAAAAAAAAAAGAGTGGATCAGTTTGCTAAATGAACATTGAAATGCTTTATCTGTGTTTTCTGTAAATAAAAGAGTGCAATAACCTCTGGGTGTGGCTGTGGGACATTCTGGATGGGCGAGAGCGGGGCTCGGTGGGGTCTGGGTGCTCCTGGCTCTGGAGAGGAGGGAGAGGAGGCGGTGGAGGTGGGAATGAAATGGCAAGTCTGCCTTCCAGAACTCTCGTCACCCTCAGCAGTGAGTTCGGGGTTTCATTTCCCTTCAGTCAGCTGAGACCGGGTACCTTACAGCTAGGGGTGATGCTCAGAGTCTTCAGGAAGTGGTATGGTTTGCCGAGTCAGATGGCTGGGGGTAAAGGTGAGGTCCTGGGACCCCTTTGTGTGCCGGATGTTACTCCTTTAGCTGGTGTGTCTGGGGCCAGGTTAGGGGAGGGGGAACATTCAAGGGGTGGGGTGGCTCCGGGCAGTGGCTGTTTTATCAAGTGGCCTGGATGTATTTTACTATTTTAACAACTGGTACAGGTTTATTGGTGTCTACGCTGGCAGAATATCTGCTGCGCTTACTTACCTTGGCAATCTAGTGGGTTCCTCCGGGCAACTTCCCCAGCTCTTATTCCAAGGAAATAGCTGATCACTGCTTTGTCGTCCTGGAACAGTGGATTGCCTGGTGATTAGGTAGCCCCCGCGGTCCTGGCCAGTTGGAAGAAGGGCTTCCTGAGGAACACAGTCCCGGGCTATTTTACATGAGGTAGGGGATGTAGATTCAGTAGCTATACTAAATGCTTTAACTAACAGTAGCTTAATCAAGATAGGCTATTTTCCTTTTTTAGGATTTTTTTTATTGTGGTAAAATATACATAATATGAAATTTACCATCCAACCATTTTTAATTGTATATTTCATTAAATATATTCGTAATGTCATACACCACCATCCAGCTCCGTACCTCTTTTCGTTTTGTAAAACTTTGTACCCATTGAACAATAATTCCCTATTCCTCACTCTCCCTCAGCCCCTGGAAACCACCATTCTACTTTCTGTCTCTATGAATTTGACTACGCTAGGATCCTTGTATAAGTAGAATCATACAATATTTGTGCTTTTACGACCGGGTCATTTTACTTAGCATGATATGTCCCCAAGGCTCATCCATGTCGTAGCATGTGTCAGAATTTCCTTCCTTTTTAAGGCTGAAGAGTATTCCATTGTATGGATAGACCACATTTTGCTTTATCCATTCTTTCCTCGATGGACACTTGGATTCCATATTTCAGCTGTTGTGAATAATGTTGCTGTGAACATGGGTGTACACATATCTCTTGAGACCTACTTTCAATTCTTTGAGTATACACCTAGAAGTGAAATTGCTGGATCATACGGCAATTCTAGTTTTAATTATTGGAGGAACTGCCATCCTATTTTCCACAGTGGCTATACAATTCTACTTTCCCACCAACAGTTTTAATTTTTCCACATCCTCACCAATACTTGTTGTTTTCTTCCTTTTTTCTTATTTATTTATTTTTTTGAAATTAGCCATCCTAATGGGTATGAGGTGGTGGTAAGATAGGCTATTTCTTTCATTCTCACAGGCATAAGCTGTTCAGGTCTGGTATGGTGGCTCCCAGGTTGTATGCCCAGAGATCAGGGGCCCTGACTCTTTCTATGTTGTTGCTGCTCTATCTTTCTAAAGTGTTGCCCTTGGCTCTGTGGTCCAAGATGGCTTGCCAGGCAGTGGAAACAGTAAAGGAGGGCACACCTCCACCATATGTGAGCCCAATCCTAAAGTTATAGACATTACTTTCATTCATGTCTCATTGGCCAGAGCCTGGTCACATGGCCACATTGAACTGCAAGGGAGGCTGGGAAGTGTAGTCTTTTATCTGAGTGGCCATGACTGTTAAGGTGGCTGATGAGTCTGAAGCTGAGCTCCCTGTGATTCAGATTTCTCTTCTGCAAA